TTGCCAGTCTAGCCCTGGGCAGTATATGCTGTGGAACACTAGCCACAGCCTTGTGGCAAATGCAGTTGAGTGCTCCCCTCTATTTAGCTTCCATGGCCGTCAGTGCAGCCTCCTTTAACTGATCTAATGTTCCCCCTCCTGCATTTTGTGGCTCAAGCAAAGCTGAATGTATAGTGGGATGGAGACACATGACTATTAATTTTTTCTCCTCATTGTCTAACCCGTGTATCGTTGCTTCTTGTGTGTAGCTTGGAACAACTCGGAGTCACCCCCAGGCTGACAATCCCCAACACACTTGGCTATATCTCTTAGCTGTTGAACATACAAGGGATCGTGTATGTAATGTCAGATGGTTGCATTTGCCCTCCTAGCACTGCTGGCTATTGTCTCCTAGTGATCAGGGGGGCCATTGGGACTGTGGGACTTTCTCCTGCCACTCCCTCTATAGGGAAACCCCCATTCCCCTGGGTCGTCCTCTCCATATCTGGCTGCTTCATCTGCTAGCCCTCCCCAGTTGACATCACCAGCTTCCTCCCATCCTTCCTCAAAGAGTAGGGTCGCAAATGCATATATTATCCCTCTTTGTGCAGATATCTGTCTTTAACTTTTCTATCTGCTTCATACACTTTGTATGATCACTTGAGGTCTTCTTTTGCTCTTATGCTGACTTATGCACTACATTCATAGCTGTTTTCAAATCACTACACTGTTTCTTTAAAACTTCCGTCTGCATGTGACTCCTTTAGTTTCCTCTTCACTTTTCTCCTTTTCCCTTTATCAGTTTCTCACACTACATTTGATACTGCTTCGTATGCATGAGGTCTACATCTCTCTGGTTTTTCAAATTCCTGACCTCCTCAGTCAGTCTCTTTATCTCTTCTTTAAGCCAAGCTACCTCTGTTTGCAGCTTCAACTTTTGCTGCTGCTTCTCTGTCCAGTCTTCTAACATACAACTTATTGCTACAGCTTTCTGCACTTTCTCAAAGTGCCTTTTTCCCATATTATCTTTTGCTGCAGACAGTATCCCTATGCCTTCCCATTCCTGTACTGATCTGACCGGTATACTCTCAGTACTTCCATTTTCCAGCCACGTACTGTTGAAGAAATCCTCTCCAGTCAGAGACCCCTGGACCCACATTCTCTGTAGGTGCTAACTTAGTGTGTCCGCAGTTCTTTTTTGTCTTTTTCACTACCAAATTTCTGCTACCTCCTTCCCGGCACCACTTAATCCTGGCCATATTGTGGAGTGACAGCTCTCTCAATTTCCGACTCAAGGCAGGGTGTTGGAAAATTGAAGTTACCCGGTCTGCTGTCAGAGTAACTTAAAGTTACTTTCCGACTCCCACCAAGGACGCCAAAATTATGTTGCCTGTCTCTGAGAGACAACACTTAATACATTGACGAAGATACAGTGGAGATGCTTAGAGCTCTGTAAAACCATAACTCATTTATTAAGCACTTAAACAAATAACACACTTTTAGCTACTAGAGATATCTCAAATACTGTCTTTCACTACCCTGATTTCTGTAACTAAGCTCAAACATTATTACGCAGGAGAGATCGCAGCTGGCCAGGCTGAAACTGCTCAACGTCTTCACCACACCTCCTGATATAGGGTACCTTCTTACAACATGAGTCTTCAAAGAGTGTTGAACAAAGGGATTTCTTCAGGCTTTTTATATACAAGTCTGTGTGCCGAGTATGTTCTTTATTTGGAATTATACGTGCACATGACTAATCCTGAACGTTTTGTCCAAATGTAAGCCTTCCTTGGACTTATCCTTGCACGTGAGCAATCCCAAATGTTTTGTTCAAATCTACATGTTATCTGATAGAGCCAGCAGTTTCTGGTTTCCTGCAGTTTTAACTCTTAGCAGATCTGATTCACTGAGCATACTTCCATTCACAAAGAAGCCCATTATTAGGCCTCTTATCAGCTCTTGTTATCTTTGTGTTATCTTCACCCTTATCCAACAGGAATGTTGGTGGTAACTCTACGTATGCCATGGTATGGTGCTGCACTGCAGGCGTCTATGGGATCCTTGAATGGTGCACTGATGAATAGGCTAGTAATTTCAATATGCAAGGTCTGCGTGAATCCTTCACCATGTAAGAGGAAAACTTGCTCAAAGCTGGTTGTAGCAATTCACCCAACCATTTGGTCAGTTCTTGTTGTGCAGAATGGTTCATAGATACGAAAGGGTGTAAAAGAACATCACTTTGTATGCCTTGAGCAATCTACACGTACATGGATGCAGCGAGCCATGGGAATGAACCCAGCGTTTATATCGTTCAGCAGCTAGTTACTATTAAACAATTCTAGTAAATGGTTTTTTGGCTTGTTTTCGAGTAAGGTTGCTAAGTCATGCTGAATGGCAGATCCAGTGAATACAATTCATCAACTATGACAATGAGTTTAGCATCGTCAGTTGAGCTTGCAGAATTGTCCATTTGGATGTTTTGGAAGATATATATATACAAGAGGCCCTGTTACTTGTAAAGAGAGAGAACATGTGCGGGCATTGTGCCTATATAGATGATACTCATTTGCTACCTATTTCTCAGTGCAGTGAAGGACCTGTAAGGGTCATGTGCATGGTTTAAACAAGCCTGGCATTAACTGATCTATTCTCTACGGAAATGACTACACTAATCAGTGTCTACTTTCCAAACAGTTAGCCCTCTCCTCTCAAGTAGTTTAAATCTTGGTTTTCCCCTTAAATTGATGTTCTTGTGCATTGTCCTGATCAGTGCAAGATGAAAATCTCCAACAAAGATGTTTTTCAGCGTTACTCAAGTTCTGTACTAGAATTTACTATTTGAACAGATGGTGGTGTGACCAAGGAAGTCAACGTTCAAGCAAATAGGCTATGTTTGCCATATCTTAACAATTACAAAAACACTTGCGGTTTTAAGCGGTGTAGCCATTAGGAGTTTAAAATTGACTAAGTGCCTAATGTGTACCAAAACAAACTTTGGTTTTATAACTCAGTTTTGTCTTAGAATATGAATAATAAGGGTGCTAAGATTCAAATAATGTGGAAATATGGAAAAATATATTCAAAGTTCAAATAATGCACCTATGCATGTGTATGAAAGTAGCTTGCCAAGATACTTAAGCTTTTTTAAATTAGTTTTTTTTCCTCTAAGTTCTGTGATTTGTGTTTCATGCTGTATAAGGGAATACACTATCCATAACCTTACCTATCATACATTTTCAATTTCCTTATGACCATTCTTACAATTATGCTACTGAGGGAAAAATATACCAAACTTCTCTCAGTACCTGACCTTGAGTGCTCAGTAAATCTGAAAATATTAAGCACGATCAGTTTGCTTTCATGTGCTCCTGAAAAGACATTCCCTTAAATATTGAAGGCTTTCTGGTATAAAGAGGAGAAAATGAACAATTACCACCAAAGTTTGTAGCCAACAACTCCAGCTGATATTTATTTCTGTACAAGCAAGCTGTTCCATGCTATGTTCTATTTTATGCTATGCTATATTTTACCTATGCAATGAATGGAAAATTACTGACCTTTGCTACTAAAATAAGTTGGTTCACTCACTAGTCCCATAGTCTGAAAATCCAACTTGATATAATGCAAATTGTGCTTTTGTAATAAAAACACACTCTGCTAAGGAAGCCTGGTCAATTCTACAGTCACCTGTTTTTGGGTTTGAAATTAATGAACATTGTCATATTGTTTATTGAAAATACTGCTTTGGGATCCGCTGTGTTGGCAAAGAACAAAGTTAGTAAGTTAAGCTAGAAATACTACAAGTACGTACACAGTCAACAGCTGAGGACGTAGCTGATGCTGCCATTTCAGATGTCATCCCTATGATGGGTATTTCAGTATGGTTTGTTCAAGAAAATGTTCAAAATGAAGATAATTGATCAAAGTTTTCAAGGGTTCATTGACTTGCAGAATGTTTCCTTGACTATTGTATGATTTAAGACTTTCTGGTGAAATGATGCAGAACTGTACAAAGGACAAGGGAATCTCAAAACTGGAGGGTGGGGAGACCAATGGAAGCGTTTTTTTCACATGTGGAACATGAACATCAGTGGCTGGGCCAACATTTATTGCTATCCCTAGATGCCCTTGCGAAGGTGGTGATCAGCTGCCTTCTTGAATCACTGCAGCCTCTGTTCTGTATGTAGGCCCACAAGCTAGCTTCATGCACAATGCAGAAACAGAAACAATTGAGAATAGAGAACCTGTAAGCACAGCAAATTTGAAAATAATTTTCAAGCAACGTTGAAGGTTCACTAGGTTAATCCTGGGATTAGAGAGATTTTCTTACCCGAGATTAGGTAGGTCAGGCTTTTAAACATTGGAATTTTGGGGAATGAGGAGAGATTTTATTGAAACACATACGATGGATGTGGAGAGGTGGTTTTCCCTTGTGGGAGAGTCAGGGCCGGAGAGTATAACCTCAGAGTAAGGGGCCTCCCATTTAAGGCCAGTGAGGAAGATTTTTCTCTTTGAACATAATGAAATGGAATTCTTTACCTCAGGCTGTTGAGGCTGGGTCATTAACTATATTTAAGGCTGAGACAGACATGGTCTTAATCAATAAGGGAGTCCAGGATTATGAGGAAAAGGCATGAAATTGGAGTTGAGAATTATCAGATCAGCTATGATCTTGTTGAATGGTGGAGTATAGTTAATGGGCAGAATGGTCTACTTCTGCTGCCACATATTATTGACTAGTTCTTGGACATACAGGTGAAAAAGTGATCCTTGCTACGCACCAAATTTGAAATCTTGATGCTTCACTTTTAGGGTATTTCCAGAGATTGGACCGCATACTGCTATCCAAAATGATCATGACGTGAATGTACTTAGAAACAATGAGAAGCAAAAAAGATTTAATGATTATAATATTTAATTAAAAGAGGGGGGGAGAAGAGTCAAATAAAATGAATAATAGTGTGACTAGAGTTTGTGCTGTGACTTACTTTTTTTGTCTTAAAATATTGTTGTTACAGGCAAGTTCGAAACCTTTAACACTGGGTCCACTCAAAGCTGAAGACTTAAATACAAAAGAATTTCCAACGAAAAAATTGGTAGTATTGGTCCATAAGAGTCCTGTGCCACCACAAAAAGAAACTGTATCAAGCAATGTTGCAGGGACTTGGACGATTGATCATAATTACAACGCTGTAAAACCTGAAAAGACTCTGATATCTGCTTCGGTATTTTACAGATCGTGTATGTATCATCCAGTAATTTTAAACATATGGTTTTTTTCATTATTTTCATTTTCCCCTACATAAACAAACTGTCCAGTTAGAACAAAAGCAAAATAATATTAATACTGGAAATCTAAAATAGTAGAAAATGTTGGAAAAACTTGGTGAATGAAGCATCATCTGTGAAGACAAAGTTAACTTTTCAAATATGTGCCCTCTTGTTAGAACTGATTGACTGTGATGTAAGGTTAAAGACCAGAAACATTAATTTTGTTTCTCCCACCACAGACGGTACCTGATCTGTTCAACATTTCCAGCATTTTCTGTTATTATTTCAGCCTAGCATGACTTAGTTGTTCCTATAGCTTTGAAGAATTGGCAAATTTAGGCGACCTGTATGTATCCCTTATTTCTTATTACGAACTTGTCTTCATTTTATATTGGATCTATTCCTTCCCTAATCGAAGCATTGTTCCTCTTTGCTAATTTATGCTGCAAAATATGCTATTACTTAATTAAAAGATATATGAACATGATGGGTTAGGAGCAGATAACAGTATGGAGCTGGAGAAGCACAGCAGGCCAGGCAGCGTTAAAGGAGTAGAAAAGTTGACGTTTCAGGTCAGGACCCAAAACATCAATTTTTCTGCTCCTTTGCTGCCTGCCTTGCTGTCCTTCTTCAGCTCCATACTGTGTCAACTCTGCGTCCAGCATCTGCAGTTCTTGCTATCTGTGGGTTAGGAGTAGGCAGCTTGGGCTTACTCTGCCATTTGGAAAGACCATTGATGATCTGATTGTCCCAAATTCCCATATCCCCTCAAAAGCCTGTTACCCACTTGCTGATCAGGAATCTGTCTACCTCTGCCTTAAAGATATTCAAAGGCTCTGTGTCCACTGCATTTTGACGGAAGTGTTCTAAAGAATCGTAACCCTCCTGAGAAAAAATTTCTCTTCAACTGTCTTAAATGGGTGACCCTTTATTTTTAAATAGTGACCTGTAGTTCTAGATTCACTCACGTGAAGAAACATCTTTCATCATACACCCTGTCAAGGTCCCTTCAAGATCTTGTACATCTCAAACAAGTCACTTGTAACTCTTGTAAACTCCAGACATAAGCCTAGCTTGTCCAATCTACCTTCAGAAGACAACCTGTCAATTCTGGATGTTAGTCTCGTAAATCTTTTCTGAGCTGCCTCCAATGAATTAAATCTTCCTTTTTTTAACATAAAAGTCAGAAGTCACACAACACCAGGTTATAGTCCAACAGGTTTATTCGAAATCACAAGCTTTCAAATATGTCTGTTGGACTGTAATCTGGTGTCACGTGACTTCTAACTGTCCACCCCAGTCCAACACTGGCAGCTCCACATCATCCTTAAAAAAAAAGGAGACCAGTACTATTCACAGTCCTCCATGTGGTCTCACCATTGCCCTGTATAAGTGAAGGATAAACTCTACTTTTATATTCGATTCCCCACGCAACCATTTATAAAAGAAAAGATAATATGACAGGAAGTAGGCCAACAGACCCCTATCAAACTGCTACTCCTAGCTGTACGAAAACAGCATTGTTGAATATCCTCTGATTTCTCTCACCTTTTAGAGGAATAACTTTGTTATGGTTAGTATCCTCTCTGAGAGACCTTCAAAATAAGAGTAGAGTTTTGAATGTAAGTTTTTGTGCAGAATTTTATTCTATTTCTTTTGATGTTTTGTTAACCAACACATTTAGATAAACACAAATGCAGTCAGGCTTCAGAAACTTTTGGACCAGGCCAGACAGGTTTGTACTAAGTTTAAGAGTATAGTAATGCATTTAAGTTTTTAAAAACATAACAAAGTGATTGCAGTGGTACTTTCGGTAGTTTTACTTTTGTAGTCATATGCTAATCGAACATCAATAATAGTTGATGAATGTGGAGTATGAACAGAAGCTGAGTTGAGCACAGCTTCTAAGAGCCCAAGTAAGTCATTTGCATAGTTTTTCAGGATGATGCAAGAGAATAGACATTTTTAACAGCTGGCTTCAGATTTATCATAGGATGAAATTGCCCTCCAACAGGTTAGTATGAAGCTTGGCGCATGGTAAATGCAAATGACATTAAGTGGTAATTAATTTTTTAGTAGTAGTGAAATGATGTATGACATTTTTAAGAATAGAAATCATTTACAGAAACAAAAACATTGTTACAAATTTTATGGTGGGAGGATTAATATTCACCTGAAGAGCTTTATAAGTCTTCTGAAGACCAATATTGATCGGACTACTAGAAACAATTCTGTATGGCTGCTGAAGAGCATTTCTGGTTGCCCAGTCACTGATTCACCATGCCCTCCTGAAATATAATGGTCTGACCTTTGTAGGATTGATGGAACAAATTTTCATGATATGGTAACTGGGGAAAACTGGATTTTCTAAATTTCATACTTCAGTTATAGCTGCAAAACCCTCTGGCCCAGTGAAGATGCTATGGTGTGATATGAAGGGTCAAGTTTGTGTAACATACAGAATGAAGAGGCCATCGGTTATAACTCCGAGCGTAGAAATTTCTTATAGGATAAAGTGTGCACAGATGTAATATTTTTAATGCACGTGTGTATATTTAGTTTTTGTATATATATTTAAATGTTGTTTAGTATTAGTAACATAATAGTTTGGGTTTGGCACCTGAAAGTCATGGGATGATGTAATGCGACATCAGGAAGGGTTAAAGGAATTTTTAATTTCATTCTTCTGTTGTAATGGTTAGCTGTCTGTTATTATTGGGAAATCTGCAATAGTCATATGGAGGGGTGCCCTTAAATGAATGTTATTCATCTTTTTTAAAAAAAAGCAGTCCTGCTCTTGCATGTCATCTGTTCATACTGATCTTCACAAAGCTGCAGAAGAGTGAGCACAGCTTGTCATCAGAAAGCTAAGGCTGAATTTCATTATAACATTTATTTTTATTATGTACTGCTTTCTGCCCTTCAGTCGTCAGACACAGGTAAGGTGGCATGTGGTATTCTTGTTCAGCTCGAGTAACCAGTTAAGATTCATAGTCATGGTCATAGAGCACGGAAACAGACCCGACGGTCTAACCGGTCCATGCCGAACATAATCCCAAACTAAACTAGTCCCACCCACCTGCTCCTGGCCCATATTGCTCCAAACCTTTCCTATTCATATACTTAGCTAAATGTCTTTTAAATGTTCTAATTGTGCCCACATCCACCACTTCCTCAAGAAATTCATTCCAGATGTGAACCATACTGTATAAAGAAAAAAAAAATTGCCCCTCGTGTCTTTGTTAAATCTCTCTCCTCTTACTCTAAAATTGTGCCCAATAGTCTTGAAATCCCTTGTCCTGGGGAAAACACAGCTGCTATTAACCCTATCTATAAGAGGAGGTGGAAATATCATTACATTTATACGTCCACTGCAGTGTCGTGGAAACTTCAGATATCTGGCACAGGAAGCTGAACACTTGTGTATTGATTTTAAATTTTCAGGAGAAATAGATGGGTGTTACATTGTTCATGTTAGCCACTAAATCATTTGTGCACACTTTTTTTTTAATGCACTCACTAAATACCTCAATGGTTGTGACAGTACTCAAGTGTGATATACAACTGGGAATCTTTTCATGTAGTTCCTAATTGCCATTTGACAATTCAGAAGATAAGGATAGTTTCTAACAGAATTCCCTCTTTTTTTTTCCTCAAACACGCAACCAAATTGTTTAAAAGCACAATCCCTTGAAATTTTTATGCATGTGTGGCTGAGCAACTTATTCATTGCTAATGTTGAATTTAATAGCACTGCAACATTATTGCTGTCCCGTAACTTGGCCAACACTCAGTAAATTACATTGGAGAATGAAAAGTATTTTTAAAATACAAATATTAAATGCCATTAAACTATGTTGAGGACCACCGTCTATTACCTGATGCAATGAGGAAATAACTTGGTCTGTATAAAGATTATTAAGCAACTTAGAAGTGTAGAATCATAGTCTCTATCTGCACAGTATAAATTCTATTTGGTTTATCAAGTCTCCACCAACCCTCTGAAGAGCATCCCAAACCACCACCGATTTCGCCCTCCTGCCCCCAATGGCCCCACATTTAACATGGCTAAACCATCTAACTACACTGCTGCATCACAGCACCAGGAACCCAGGTTCGATTCCACCCTCGGGTGACTGTCTCTGTGGAGTTTGCACGTCCTCTCTGTGTCTGTGCGGGTTTCCTCCGGGCGCTCCAGTTTTCTACCACAGTCCAGAGATGTGCAGCTCAGGTGGATTGGCCATGCTAAATTGCCCATAGTGTTCAAAGATGTGTAGATTAGGTAGATTATAGGGGGATGTGTCTAGGTGGGATGCTCTGAGGGTCGGTGTGGACTTGTTGGACAGAAGGGCCTGTTCCATATCCTGTGACCTAACCTGCACGTCGTTGGACTGTGGGAGGGAACCAGAGCACTCGGAGGAAACCCAGGTAGATACTGGGAGAACGTGCAAACTCCCCATAGACAATCACCCGAGGCTGGAATCAAACCCATGTCCCTGGCGCTGTGAGGCAGCAGTGCTAACCACTGACCTACTGTGTCACCGCAACTTCTACAAAAATGTCTAGAACCTGTATGTTTCTAGTGAGCTTTATGTGTTAGTAATGGCGGGGGATTGTGGGATCAGCTGCGGGAGAGTGGGATAAATTCTACACATCATGACAGCCAATTGAAGCGTGACATTGGGCATCTCTTGAGAAGCAGTGAATCTCCTTGGCGGTCCAGAAATTGGAAGGCGACAACAGGAACATGAGGTAAGTAGTCTGCCGCGGTTGGGAATAGAACTGCGAAGTATTTACACATTTTACTTAAAACTTCCAAAACTTGTACACTTAACTCTTGTATTAATATCATAATTTAACAGCAATTTTAACAGATCAAATTAAGTAGACATTGTGATAAATAGGACCTGGACTGGGGATGGAGTAACTGCTAGCAGTAGTTAAGCAAAAGAATGGCGGTTGTGTATTAT